GGCGGTCTCGCTATGCGAATCGGGAGTGTGCGTGCCGAGGCTGAGCGTCTGCTCTGCTGCAATGCGATAGACCCTATGGTGATGTGTGTGGTGGTCGGTCTGGGCGAGCGTCGAGTCGCCGACGTAATTTCAACCAGCAAGGCATTGGCAGTTCAGGCTCGTGGCCGACGCCGGTCTCAGTAGCTGGACATCTTGGCTGAGATCAAGCCTGATCTGTCCGATCAGCAGCGCTTCCTTGTGGATGTGGCAGGTGAAGGTGGTGTATCCACTTGGCTTGGCACTCACCCTTCCATGCACATACCTGGGTCAGTATTTAATAAATCTGACTTCAGGGATGCACTCTGTCTGCGGTATGATTTATCGTTGGATGGGGTTGCATTGTCCTGTGTGTGTGGAAAGGAGATGTCGAGCCATCACACACTCACTTGCCCCAGTGGAGGCCACCCGACCCAGCGCCACAACGAGTTGAGGGATCTCCTTGCGGACACCCTCGGCAGCGTCGTTTGTGATGTGGCGATCGAGCCACCGCTGATGCCACTCCTGGGCCAGGCAGTCTCTGGCAACTCAGCTGATGGCGCTCGTGTGGACATACGGACTGGTGGCTTCTGGACCAGGCAGCAAAACGCCTTTTTTGATGTGCGGGTGACTCACCCAAGGCCGTCTTTGCTGACTGGACCGGAAGTGGCGGGTCAGTTGTCCAAGCATGAGCGCCAGAAGAAGCGGCAGTATGTAGACCAGATTAACCAGGTGGATCGCGGGTCATTTACCCCTCTGGTTTTTGCAACGAATGGTCAGAGTGCGCCGGAGTGCAGCATATTCCTGAAGACGTTGGCGGCCCGTATAGCGGATAAGAATCGGGATCTTCAGTACGCCCTTGTCCTTGGTCACCTGCGATCGAGGATAGGTACCTCCCTAATCCGGTGGCAGATAACGTGTTTTCGGGGGGCAAGATCGTCGTATGCCCGTGGTGTCTCCGGTGCAGGCTGTCATGGTTTCGTAACCGAGTGCCGTGCACTGGCGCACATGTCGCGTGTGCAGTAACTGGACTTGTCTATCGAAAAGGATTCTTTTCCTTTTTGTAGACTGTGTTGTTATTCTATTTTCGTTGTTACTTTGTAATATTTTTTTTATTATTTGAATTCGTTTCTCTCGTTGGTTGGAGTTTTACTTGGATCCTTTGAAATTTGTACAATTACACGACCTCATTGAGCCTATGCTAGGGATTGAGTTCACTTTTGCCTCCTGGGTGCAATGCTTGAGTTCAGTTGGTCAGGTTTCTTTTTATTCTTCCTTTTTCTCTTCTTCTTTCAAATCCAGCATTATGTTTCTGGTGTTCTTTTCTTTCTTTGCATCATCATTTTATGTGGTCAATAAAAACACGCTTCCAAGTAGTAGTATTAGTAGAAGTAGCAGCAGCAGCAGCAGCAGCACCAGCAGCAGTAGTAGTCGCAACCTGTGTCATGACTTCTGGCAGCCAGCCAATTGCTCCACCAATTAGCTCCAGTACGCAACGCCACACCGACTCTCCAGCTAGTTGCCCTGAACTGTCAGCCCCAGCAACAGGGACAACGAGAGAGCCCCGGTCCTCTGATGTGCCCAACACCAGTGCTGAATCAAGCGTTTTTATCAGTGGGACTTCGCCTGAACAGTCGTTATTGCCAGGAGGAGATACAACATTGCTCTTGGTCGGTCTGGACGATTCTTAGCATAGTTTCGACGAAAACATATGGAACAGTTCGGCGGATGACATACAAGCTTTCTTCCAAGACGTATACACGTAAATTGTACAACGAATGTGTGCAGTGGGAGAGGAATCTGGTAATGATTCCGTATGGTTCAGCCGGGTCTTCGTTTGTGAATGAATTGGCCGGCTTAATATCAGTGTTTGGCGCTGACTCGCCACTTCGTCCCATCTCTTGGACTGCGGTAACGGCTGCGTGCCAGCTACTATTACAGCGACCTCACCCGGAGTCCCGTGCTGCTGAGAATGCAACCCACATCACGTGACGTTTGAAATCGTGGTCATGTGGCAGGTTTGAGGAAATCCGGGACGAAGCTAGATGTATTCAAGCACACCAACCCGCTGGGAAGGGTCGCCAGAAACTGCTTGATACAGTGGATGATACAACCTTCAGTCGACGAATATTCGCAGGGAAGATTCACTCTGCAGCGAGGATGGTAGGTGATAGACTCATGGCTAAGTGCTCGGGATGGAGGATTCGGCCGGTGGTGACAAGACGGTGTGTGAGGTACTGCATGACAAGCACCCGTCTCCCTCACCAGCGGTTCCTGGCTCATTGGTGGCGCCGACCGACGCACAGCAGGTGAACCCAATGCTCTTCGAGCGCATCAAGCCAAGCCTCATCAAGTTTGTTAGCAGGTCCATGACGGGCACCGCTGGTCCGTCTGGACTAGACTCAGAGGCCTGGACCTGGATGGGTTTTATGACGGACGGGGTGTGGGTGCCCTTGTTTAGCTTGAAGGTCAAAAGTCGTATACCCGTAGCAACTCTCAAGGCAAATTTTGTGACAATGTGCATATGCCGTACTCCCTGCGTGCCTACGCATGTCCCGGACCCCGCCAAACAGACAATGAGATCTTGGTCAGAGACCCAGATTGGTGCATCCAAGATTCTGACTTCAAGCAGGGGTTCCGTGAAAAAAAGTGTGAACCATTGCAACGAGAGATGGGCAAAGAAGCATTCGTGTTGTAATCTGAGAAAGACGATGGCTGTTCTCAACCACCAGTATTTCGCTGGAAAAGATCTGTGCAGAAGAGAGCACATAGAGGTGCTCTACCGATCTGGGCTGTGAAGCAGGCACGTTCACGACTTGACCGGCTATAAGAAAACCCCGGTAAGCAATGGAGATACGAGCAGAAGGAGTACGACATTTACTCGAATATGCACTTCTCTATGTTGCATTGTTCAGGCAAACGATACTAGCCCACACGAGGCCCTGACGAACTTCAGCACGTCCAGCAGTTTGTTGAAAACAACCGCTATTCCAGCAGCGAGAAAGCAGCGGCCGACTTGGCTAATGTCGGTCCAGCAGGCGAATCAGTAGGTGCTAGGCAGGTGAGACAGCGCCTATCAGAAACCCATCGCTTTGGCCGTCCGCATAAGAAAGTCGTCCTCACAGAAGCACACAAGCTCCACCGTCTTGCATGGACAATCGTCCACAAAGACCACGCCTTCGACGGTATCCGCCGACGAAGCTTGCTTCGCTGCCGGCCTCGACGGTCGAATCATGTTCTTGTTCCCTCGCGATTCTGTGCCTGTTCTTGAGCAGTCACAGCATCCGGCAATGGTGCACGTTCTCGGCGTTGTGTCTCTGTCACCTAACGCGCAGTAGCACATCCTCGACAACGGCATGCCTCATTGCGTTTCAACCTGCTCGTTCACAAGACCTAAACATCGACAACATTTGGAGCTTGCTGAAACGACGACTGGCGGCACACAACTGCCAAACTGAGGATGAGCTGCGCGAGGCCCTGGATTTTGAGTGGGGAGCGCTGCAGCCTGTCAATGTGGCGAGTTTCGCAACATCCATGCCAAACCGTCTGCAGGAAGTCATCACAAATAATGGTGGTCACACCAGATACAGTACAGATCGGCTATAGCGTTGGTGTTTGATTTTCGTGAAAATGTTACTAAAGGCGATATATTACTATAGGCGATATGCATACTTAGGTATGCCTGACAAATGTGTGTATGGTGTCATTCGAATCAGTGCAGCGTGCAGAAGCGTGCTGTGCATGTGACTGTGCAGTAGATCTACGCGCAGTGCAGAGCTACTTACGAATTCCTGCGGAAACAAAAACTTCGTGACTTTTTGACATGAGTTTTTCAAGGAGTTGCTGTGCTCAACAAATGTGTTCTTTTGGAAGAGAAACACTTTAACACATTCAATCGACATATCAACAATATCTACAGGATCGATTAGTGGGAGTAGAGTCTCAGTCTGGGTCGGCATCGCTCGACTCATCACCGCTGAAACCGTTCCAAGTGGCAGGTCGATCGACGCGTGACGTTGTATGTCACGGAGAAGCTTCTCTGCGTCCCTGATCGTCTTCGCTGTTACCTGAATGCCTTCTCCAACATCTCGGCAGGGACCACGGTAGCGCTTCAGCGCTGGTACTCATTACTGCCTCCGATCTCGCTCGAGGATGCCCCGGAACAACAAGCACAGCCAAAGCCAAACATTTCGAATTTCCTCCAAGGGATATCATAGTCGTACCAGCGCTTCCTGGCTGTCGCGATCAGATCTCGCCATGTACGATGTATAATTGAAACTGCATCTTTCCCTCTCTCTTTTTCTTCTGCTGGGTGTCCTGTGTTTTTTCCTGGTGGAAGGTTCACTGGTACCAGGTAAGGGTGTAATCATTTCCAGTAATATGCATTGACACGTGCCAAAATTCACGCCAAATCTGTAGTTCACGTACACCATCTAAAAATGGACCAGCGGCGCAGCGCTGGAGCGCAGAAATGAATGTGTGCACGGTATGCGTACTCATGGCTGCATGGCCAGCGCCCATGGGTCGCTTGACCACCGACCGGATTTCCATGTCCACGACAGTAGCACGCTAAAGAAATTCTTCCAGGTAATGATGTACATCTTATCCAAGTTCTACTTTGTTCTCCCAGATATTTGTGTGATAATCAACTTGTTAACCTACCTGGCAGGCTGTTCGACGCTACAACCGTCTTTTCCTACTGAAAAATTGGCTGACACCACCAAGACTCGAACCAAGGCCCCTCACTTGTAGCCAGTGATGCTGTAACCACTGAGCTATGGTGTAGTCGTCATCCCAGCAGAAACCGCTCAACGTTTTCTTCGGACTTCGTAACTCACACTTTGTGTGAATCTACACAGGCGGTTGGGACGAAGCCCTCACTGTAAACCACACACTCCACCTACAAACTAGTACGCAAAATATAGTAATAAGATATTCTTCCAGGAAGTGATACATCCTATCAAAATTCTACTTTGTTCTCCCAGAGTTTTGGGTGATAATCAACTTGTTAACCTATCTGCCGGGCTGTTCGACACTGCAACCCGATTAAAATACCTGTAAGTCACGTTGTGCATGTAAAAATTGTAAAAATCCAACTAACTAACCTGTAAGTCATGGTGTGCATGTTTCGGTAAAACATTCTTTTGCGTCGTTCTGCTCTTTTGAAATGTAGCAAATAGGATTTCGGGATTTGGCATCTCGTTGATTGATCTGATGTACCCTCCCCTCCCGACCCGAATCTGACGCCACTCATGGAAGACTTTTCCAGGTGGAATTCCGTGGCTGGATTCTTTGTTGGAAGCAAAGAGTTGAGATAGTGTCTTTACAAGTTCCCTGGCGCATTCCTTCAAGGCAGGAGCGGAAATACTGTCGGGTCTAGTCGCCTTTGAGACATCAAGACGAGGTAGAAGCCTGTGGACTGCATTGAGGCGAAACTGAACTGTAGTTAGTTCAGATGCGCAAGTGAACGCTGTGTCCAGTAAGTCCATCATAGTAAGATCGAGGCCTTGTACACTTCCCTTGTTGGAAGAGAAACGTGTGAAAGCCTCCAGTTTCTCATAACTTATGACCCTCTCGCAACCTTTAATATCTGTCAACGCGTAAATAAGAGATCGCTGGGGGGGGGGGGCAGAACAAGAGCAGCAGAGACAACATAAAGCGATCTCGCAGAAGAGGACTAGCAAGTTCATGCAGGCAGCGGTCCAAATACATAGGTTTTGAAGTCGAGGTGTTTCTCAAGGGTGTACAAGTTAGTATGACTGTATAGAAGAATGGAGGGGTCATTCTATCTTTTAGGTACCTCACCCCGTACAGTCTAACTTTTTCCCTAGCTGGCCTGCATAAACCATAAATTATGAACTCACCTTTTATTCTGTTGGCCTGGGTAGCTAATTGCGTGCCTATATTTCCATAGCTACCCAAGCTCTTCATAGTCTCTTGTTGTCTCAGTCTCTCTCTCTCTCTCTCATAATGTAGTTGTTGAAGTTCGTCTTTGTCCCCATCTCATCGTCAATAATAAATGTTTCCCCCTACTCGTTCCCATTGTCCGTAGCGTTGTAATGTCTGGAGAATATGTCGTCAGTCGTCCTCAACATTTTTTATTTTTTATTTTTTACTATTGAACACTCACTGCATGATGAACTAAAATGAGGAGAAGAACTCGACACAATGATACATATCCAGCAGGACGGAGTGGGTGGGACCTGTGAAGCTCAGCCGACCAAGGGTCTCGGCATCACAGCTGCACATGTGCACCAAAGGAAACAAAATGGGGAGTGGAAGGGCGGGGAGGGGAGCAGGAGAGCAAGAACTCTACATTGGCGCCCGACTTTCCGCTCACCCACCTCTCTTTCTTTGCATGTGTCCCTTCTTCGTCAATTTTGTTTCCAGTTTATTTCTTTTTGATTATTTTATCGTAGTGTGTATGCGCGTGCGTGTGTTCTGCATAAAATATCAGTAAATTAGAGCTCTGATCATGGTGAGCCACTCTCTCATTGTTAATGTTAACAGAAGTGCCACCACGCTATTTGTAGCCATGCAAGCAATATCAGTAGGTTCCTCGTCACGTCTAGTTTCTTATTTGTGCCAATTTTTTCTTGAAGGTGTGTTTGGCCCGCTGTTCTTGGCAATGTTGGGTGATGAGTACATGTATACCGTTAGACTTCGAGAAGTACAGGAACAATAACTCGAATGCATCAGCGATGAATTTACTGTCATATTTCTGCTACAAAGGAGAAAGGAAGGAAGGACAACGTGATAACACATAACAGCAGTACATTAAACCTACTTGGTCCGGCTCATCGCAATTGTCGCTTATCTAAGAACAGGAGTTTTGTGGCCGCTCTGGGAAATTGTCAATAGGCATAGTGAGGAAGCATGATACTTGAATACTCTCTGCCAGAAGAAAAAAATTCAGCCATGGAATCAGGTGAAGCGAGTAATAGAAGGGAAGCAAGGTAAGCAAAATGCACGAAATAAATCAGCGAAGGAGCGCGTTCCTGCATTCACACTCTTACAGGTCCAGACTTCATTCAACTCTCCATCACTCGAGCTGCCGCCGTTACATGAGCTCATATAAATTGCTGGTGTGTAGCTGCTAGCGACTGGTAGAGTGTCTCTTGCTTTTTCAGCCTGTCGTATGGCAGCAATGGGAAAGGAACAGTTGTGTCTGTCACTTCGGTGCTTGAAGGAACCGTGGGCAGTGTGACCTATGTGTCACCACAGTGTGTTTGAACAGAGCCTTAGAATGAGGCGAACAGGCCTCTCCAGACAGCTGTCATACGCTCCACTGGATATGCTGACGACTCTTGTAATGCTGCTGCCAGGTCCACGAAGGAACAAAAGGAACAACCAAAATGTCCCTTGCATGCGCGCATCGCATCAAAAACACTTTTCTTCTTCAGTACGACGCTCATACTCGTACTCCTCTGCCGTGCACGCGTACCTGTCACGCTCTCCAGGATGTCAGTTGCCACTGCTACAGTTCCGGTCTTCGGGTCGCTGCGTTTGGCTTTTGGCAACACAGACAGTGTATGGCCAGATTTCCACTTCCCAAAAAAAGTCGAACACCGCGATTCAAGACGCTAGCCGCGATCCTTTTTTCTTTGGTGCCTCATTTGATCTTGCCATCACAACCTCCCAAGCAAAAGTAAGTTAGATATCATGATTGGACTGGGTTTTAGCTGTCAAAAAGTGCGTGGGAGAAAAGCGACAATTGCAATGAGCCGGACCAAGTAGAGCATTAACTGCCAAGCTTGGCCGCACTAAACACGACACGTTACTTGAACAATTTCAACCCAATTATACAATCTTTCTGTACACACAAATTAGGCTTATACAGACGCTGATAGATAGCTTCCAACACTTTTAACTGTAGTCCATAACCATGACGACCACGGCACAATACAGTGAATAAAGAGTCGGAATACGAATTGCAACAATCAGGACTAGCTAGCAGATGATTGTACACTGAAGACTTGCTACCACGAAACCTATGCACAACACTTTGTGAGTCGGAGAGCAGTGATTGGAGTGATGGTGAGAGTGCCGGTGAGAGTGTTAGTGTTGTGCGTAGGTTTCGTGGTAGCAAGTCTTCAGTGTACGATCATCTCCTAGCTAGTCCTGCAATTCGTATTCCGACTCTTCGTTCACTGTATTGTGCCGTGGTCGTCATGGTTATGGACTACAGTTTAAAGTGTTGGAAGCTATCTATCAGCGTCTGTATAAGCCTAATTTCTGTGTACAGAAAGATAGTATAATTGGGTTGAAATCGTTCAAGTAACGTGTCGTGTTTAGTGCGGCCAAGCTTGGCCGTTAATGTTCTAGGTGTAATGTACTGCTGTTATGTGTTATCACGTTGTCCTTCCTTCCTTTCTCCTTTGTTCATTTCTCGCTTTGATTGTTAAAATTCACACTTGTAAATTTCACTGCTGTTGCTCTTAGTGTTATTTCTCTCACTTAGATTTTCTATAAAGCGGATAACAATGATCGTTTTTATCCGCTTTCATAATTATAACCTTCTGCATGATTTTTATCATTTTATACATACATTTTCATTTATTTTTCATCATTTTGTCACAACTAGGTCTCCGGACCTGGTGAGAAGGCCGAAATACCTGTTCACTTGGTGAAGTAAAATAAAAGAAACAAAGAATGAAACAAACAAACTCACACTTTGTGGGAATCTCCACAGGCGGGTGGGACGCAGCGCTCACTGTAACCCACACACTTCACCTAGAAACTAGCACACAAAAGAGAGTAATGGAAAAATGTCCAATACAGCAACTTATAGAGCAAAAGCATAGATTGAGAACTCCAGCTATACGTGGGGAAAAAATAAAATTCAGCTGAACAAGTCAACAACAGGGTGAAGGTGAAGAAATGACTAAAACATAATGAAAACATCAATGAGAAGAAGCATTCCCGACACTTTCATGAGGATTAGCGCCAAACAACTGAAGAGACAAAACATTTTCCTTCTGGAAATACAGTTCAAGGGACAACTTGCGAATATATAACGCTTCCAAAGCAGGATAATGTATTACAAGTCTGCCACGGGACAAAACTGAGAAAACATTATCTCTGTACAACTCACGACAACTATCACTAACCGACATAAGACTCTTCATCGCCGATTGCTGACTGTTGGAATTTCTCGTCTTGTTTGTCCCCTCCGATGTCGCAGCTCTTGACTCGTCCTTTCCATTGGGCAGTCGCCTTGTTGTTTCTTCCGATGTTGCAGGTCCTGACTCGTCCCTTCCATCACACCGACCTGCCACTCGTCCGGTGTCTGACTCTTTCGTTGTCTTGATCACTGGCTTTCGTGGTGGTCTTCCACGCTTCCTACCACTTACGCTCGTTGTCACTTCCAGTATCATCGCCTGTTCGTCTCCTCATGTACGCATCTTCACCTGGCTGCGAGTGACTCGTCGACTGGGTGTCCCTGGCATTGTCTTCTTCGGTGTTGTTTTCACAGCTCTGCACCTCTTTGCTTTGCCGACTTGGGCCGGCCCAAGCCCAGCACATTTTATTTTTGCTGACCCTTACAGCTCTATCTTTTGTTTTTGGTGTGTGTTTCTGGCCGTGATGCCGAGACCTCAGGTCGGCAGAGCCATCAATGCCCAACCATAACTGCTGCATCTCGGTGCAACCCCTTCTCAGTAGTTGTCACGTTTGTCCTTGTCTCAGTACCATTGTCTTTCTGTATTATTTATGAGTTGGGTATGTGAACATAGTAAAAAAAACAAAAAAAAACAAAAAAAACATGCCGTCGATGAAGAAGTCGACTGTGCTCGGCGAGTCTGCAGGACAGAGAGTGGTGGAGCATGATTAAACGAGTTGGAGGGCATGGCCAGTACAATTTTATCCCAGTCCTGGTTGACCCCGATGGCGTGGAATGCACCAAAAGCCACGACAAGGCTAACGTCATCGGGAAGTACTTTGCCCAGAAGTGCAGCCTAGACGATGACTTTGCAGAACAGTTGGGGCCGTTCCCGCATGTCCGCCAGCGCACCGCAAATACGCTTGCAACAGTCCACTTCCGCCAAGCCACCTTACACCGGACACTCCGAGCCCAGAATCCAAGTAAAGCCACAGGGCCTGATGCAGTACCCACTAGAGTGCTGAGAAAATGTGCCGACTCTCTGGCCCTGCCCCTATCCAAGCTGTTTACCCTGTGCTTCTGCAGTGGTCATCAACCTGCCATGTGGAAAGTTGCCAACGTCGTACCGGTACACAAGAAAGGCCCCAAGTCGAACCCCAGAAACTACCGACCGATATCACTACTGCCCATAATGTCTAAGTGTATGGAGTCCACCATGAACCGCAGCCTGTCCAACTTCCTGAAGAAGAATGACATCCTTTCTCACAGGCAGTTCGCCTTTTGCACTGGACTGGGAACCTCTGATCTGCTGATTGCTCTTCAGCATGAGTGGAGCCCTGCAGCTGCCGGTGGAGGCCTCGTCAGGGTCCTCACAGTAGATATTGCCGGGGCCTTCGACAAGGTCTCGCACAACGGCGTCCTCCACAAGGCTGAGCGGTGCGGCATAAGTGGCACCCTCCTTGCCTGGTTCCAGAGTTACCTGACAGACCGCCACATCCGTGTCGTCATAGGCAGCCAGTCTTCACCGACCCACCGAACCCAATCTGATGTGCCGCAGGGTAGCATCCTCGGCCCCACCCTCTTCCTTCTGTACGTTAACGACGCTGAACACTACCTGCCTGATGGGGCAAAGCTGGCTGTATACGCCGACAACACAACTCTCTACAAGTGCATCACCACCCGACTCAGACTGCCAAAAGAGACAGCAAACCTCCAGCAGGCAGTAGACTCACTGGCAGCATGGGGAAGCAGGTGGAGGATCAAGTTCGAGCCCACAAAGTCGCAGGCATTGACCATCGGCCACCACCGCTCGCCAACCCTCCCGAACGCAATACGCTTCCAAGGAGCAGTCGTGCCAGAAGTAGAGGAGCTCAAGCTTCTTGGCATCACCTTCGACAGGCAGCTGGCATTCCGCAGCCATATCCGACAGCTTGCAGTACGCGGAGCCCAGCGGCTCAGCTTCCTCCGTAAGGCATCGGTTGTGCTAGATCCAAAGCACCGGGCAATTGTGTACCGTGGCTTTGTCCGCCCTGTGTTAGAGTATGGCATGCTGGTGTGGATGAGCGCAGCCCCCACCACTTTGGCCCGCCTCACTGCCATCCAGCGCCATGTGCCCTGCACATAATTGGATATGGATCATAGCTCCCGGGCCTCGACATTCGCCGTACCGTAGCAGGGCTCTGCTTTCTGTACAAGCTGCACTTTGTGGAGGGTCCGGAAATGGTGAAAGCCATTCTGCCACCATCAGCAGCCGCACCGCAATGCCGCATGTCTACTAGTGAGACAACCAGATCTGCAACACATCATCCATCACAACTCACCAGTATTCTTCCTCCTCAGTCACGAGACAACACACTCCGCTCATTTCCCCACTCCATCATCACAACGTGGAATCAGCTCCCACCTTCCCTTCCGCAGTCTCCCCCTTCTCGCAGAGGTGTGCACACGTTCAAGAAAAATGTCAACGACCACTTGCGGAGCAGGAAGTGGGAGTGGGCCGCAGACAGGCTATGATCTCTCCATCGCAGCCAACACACCAGCCTAATTATACTTACCGCACTCCAGCTCCCTTCTACCCCTCTTGGATCCCCTTCGCTCAGCCTTCAAATCCAATTATCAGTTCTCTCCATCTTCTTACGGTGCACTGCTTTTACTATTGTTTGTCCTATCTCAATCTCAAATTCTCCCCATTATCGTTTGCAAAGCCGGTGCTTCCCTCTTGGATGCACATGTTTCTTTTCGCCTATGTATTGGCGCACAGGAGTAACGATGATTCCGAGACCTTTGGTCGGAGGAGTTACTTTTGCCCCGCCCCCACTTCCATCCAATATGCCACCGCCCCCGTTGTGCAGCATATGATGGTACTGTGATATTCAATTAAAAAAGTCACTCGCAGCCAGGTGAAGATGCGTACTGAGGGAGACGAACAGGCGACGTTACTGGAAGTGATAACGAGCGTAAGTAGGAGGAAGCGTGGAAGACCACCACGAAGGCCAGTGATCAAGTCAACGGAAGAGTCGGACACCGAACGAGTGGCCGGGCGGTGTGATGGAAGGGACGAGTCAGGACCTGCAGCATCGGAAGTGACAAGGCGACTGCCCAGTGGAAAGGACGAGTCAAGAGCTGCGACATCGGAGGTGACAAAAAAAGATGAGAAATTCCAACAGCCAGCAATCGGCGATTAAGAGTCATCTGTCGGTTAGTTATAGTTGTGGTGAGTTGTACAGAGATGATGTTTTCTCAGTTTTGGCCCGTGGCAGATCTGTATCACATTTTGTCTGCTTTGGAAGCGTTATATAATCGCTAATCCCCATGAAAGTGTCGGGAATGCTTCTTCTCATTGATGTTTTCATTATGTTTTAGTCATTTCTTCACCTTCACCCTGTTGTTGACTTGTTCAGCTGGTTTTTTGTTCCCACACGTATAGCGTGAGTTCTCAATCTATGCTCTTGCTCTATAAGTTGCTGTATTTGACATTTTTCCATTATTCCCTGTAGTTACCCAGGATGAGAAGGGAACGAAAACGTTCGGTTACTAAATTGGCTTACCTGACTGTGTGCATTGCGTCGGTGCTGACACCTTTCTTTCGAAATTGGATACGCCTCCAATTTTTCCTTCCCGGAAGTGACATACTTCCTATCAAAATTCTATATCGTTCTCCCAGACAGCTGTATGACAATCAACTTGTTGGACTACCTGCCGGGCTGTTTGACGCCACAACCAACTTACAAGAACTGTAAGTCATGGTGTGCATGTATTGTAAAAGGACGTTTTTTGGCCCAGTTCTGTTCTTTTGGGATGTGGCAAATGGGATTTCGGGATTTGACATCTCGTTGGTTGATCTGATGTACCCTCCCCCACCCTTTATGACCCGCATCTGACGCCACTCACGCTGTGATAGCGACCAACTGAAGCGGAAATTTGGTTCTTGGCCCACTCTGTACCCCGTGCAGAACCAAGAGCAGCCTTGCATCAGATACAGTTGTATGTAAGCAGCTACAAATGACCATCCGTCTGCTATGGATGAACATGGCCACTGGAGGTAGCCATGAGCGGCTACTTTGACCAGGGCAAAAAAGCATCTAGTGGTTGACCAAAGCTGTTGCTTGTCACAAATCTGGTTAGAGCTGGGTTGGAGTCGCGTACTGAACACACGAAACAGACACATGTTTGACGAGTTCGGAGGGGTCTACTGGTTACGACCGCATCCAATGCATTTTAGTCAAGTACGTGCGATTTCAACCATGATACGGAGAAAAGCACCGCAAATCGCTCCTCTTTCGGTCTTTGTGATTTTTAACAAATGTCTAAATGATTCAATCCATTCTTGTTCGATTACAAATTATGGCGAAACGTACCAAACAACCAATTGCTCCATTCATTTTGGCATATCCATTACTAACATGACAAAGAACAAGATCGAGGGTACCCACAGTGCCGAAAATTAGACTTATTCAAGACCTACTTTGGCTTGCTCGCTCGTTTTTTGTCCACTGTTCCGAATGGTAGACATGTTTTCAAATGTTCTCAACTGACATGCTCCATTGTACAAGAGAATTTTTTTACATGGACCTCGTGAACATATAATAACCCTTTGCTGCACCCACCATCGGCGATGTGGCTGTCATGGGGTTTCTTTCACTTTCATTCGGGGTAAAAGTCACTCAGGCTGAGAATTGTTCTCAAGGAAATGTTTGCAAAATTCATCGCGAGTAAAAATATCAAAAAATCTGTTTCTTTTTAATTTTTCGATACAAGGTAGTTTATTCTCACACGTCAAGCTATTGTGCCAAGTCCTTTCCCTCCCTCTAGCGAAGGTTTGAAGGCGAGATGAATCGTGCTTACGGTGAACGTGTCAATGAACTGTCGAGCGTGGCGCCTTCACACCACACACAAAACAAGCACCGGTGCACCGGCCCTCCTCCCATCCACACGCAGAGGGTTACTGACAGGACACTCCAGGATGTAACCGCCACTGAAGTGGAGGTACTCGAGCTCCTTCGTCACATTGACACCAACAAAAGCGCCGGCCCGGACGGAATCCCGTCATATTCTTCTGAAGCTCACTGCCGACCGCATCGCCCCTTCTTTTAACGATAATTTTCAACCACATCTTCACCCACGGACAAGTCCCGAGAGACAAGTGTCTCCAATCTTCAAGAAGGGCAGTCGAGCCTGTCCCACATACTATCGTCCTATCTCCCTCCTACCCGTCGTATCAAAACTGCAAGAAAGAATCGCCCACAAAGCTCTCTACAGGCACATCCAACCCCATCTCCCTCCAGAACAGTCAGGCTTCAGGAAGAACGACAGCACAGAGTACCAAATAAGCCGCCTGCTGCACGAACTTGCTGCGGACCTTGACGTCAAGAAGACAGTCCACGTCTGCTTCTTTGACCTCTCCAAGGCCTTCGACCGCGTGTGGCACCGTGGCCTCCTGCACAAGCTTGAACACCATGGTGTAAGGGGTGCAGCACTCCGCTGGTTTGAGAGCTACCTCTTGGGCCGGAGGCAGCGGGTCCGAATCGGAATCAGGCAGAAACAAGTGTAAGGCTTAGCGGGACCCATCAAAAGCCATCATCTCGTCAATCCTTGGAGGCGTGGCTTTGCTTTTGAAGCTTTAGAATTCACCACCCACCTCTGCTTCGTTATGGGGGGGGGGGGGGTCAAGAAGAAAAATGCCTTCCATCGCATTCTCTTCACTAGTGACTCTACCTTCTGCAGTAGTTCCTTCCTGTACACATGTTCCGGTGGCACCGGTATGTTCTTCAAGGAGTAATCAAAATCCAGTCTTTTCGGCTTATCCATTGTCGGTATCCGTGGCTACAGTGGAGAGTGCTCGACTTGAGATTAAATTTGCAATTTTGAACTGCTATCCTACTGTATCCCCCATTGTAATTTATACAACCAGGCCCGCATTCAGATCTATTGCGAAGGATGTTTCATCAACTCTTGAAAATAGTAACTTATAAGTATGCGTGTTGCTGTGAGCCGACGTACGTTGGTGAGACATGTCTGCGATTCTCATAAAGGATCAAGCAGCATATCCCAGACAAGCTGTACAAGAAACCGCCTGATAAATTTGTGGCAACAAGTGATAGCGCCATCACAAAGCATTTGCAAGCGCAACCTGAATGCATCCCGCAGGAACGCAACAGCAGCTTCAGTGTCATCACACCAGCCCGGAACAGCGCACACCGATTCACACTGGATGCGCTATACATTCGCAGTTTGAGGCCAGAACTGTGTCGACAAAAGAAGCACATCAAGGTGCTGCGGCTGTTCAAGCTGTAACCGGACTGACAACTTTATCACGTGTTTGTTCTGGACTGCATTCCATTCATGTTGTTTCCCGCATTTTTCCACTGCTCCATACATTCTAATGATAGTCACGGTAGTGTGAACTTGAGGCGCGTAAGAATATTCTTGCTGATTATCTACCCCAAGTATAAATTCGGCCTTCGTTTTCGTTCTTGCTCATTCCCAAGTAACTACTGATGAAAATGGGTGAAAGGCTTTTAGTATTATGAAATTGACAACCTTGTTGTTGTGTGAATATAAATTTTGTTCGCCTACCTCTCCATATTTAACTGGTTGGAGGAAAAGAGATAATATCTCTCTATTTAAATATATATATATAATACTATAATAATACCTTATTATATAAATGTCTGTGGTGCCTCCTTTGCACCATGGCTGGTAGCTCGGCCTATTTAGCTCGTAGCTGTACTGATGAGGCCTTTATGGCCGAAACAGCTTGCTGTCTACAGCATTGGGTATCACGCTCCTTGGCATTCGCCTTGTTGAGCACTCTCAGTAGGCTGCTCTAGTGCTGCTGCATCGCGCAATGCCCGCTACATTTTGTAGTTTGAGCACTCTGGCGCTAGAGCGACGAGCTACCTTAATGTCTGTGGTGCCTCCTTTGCACCATGGCTGGTAGCTCGGCCTATTTAGCTCGTAGCTGTACTGATGAGGCCTTTATGGCCGAAACAGCTTGTTGTCTACAGCATTGGGTATAATATATATATATATATATATATATTTAAATAGAGAGGTAGGCGAACAAAATTTATATACACACAACAACAGGGTTGTCAGTTTCATAATACCAAAAGCTTTTCACCCATTTTCATCAGTGGTTACATGGGAATGAGCAAGAACGAAAACGAAGCCAGAATTTATACTTGCTCATTCCCATGTAACCACTGATGAAAATGGGTGAAAAGCTTTTGGTATTATGAAACTGACAACCCTGTTGTTGTGTGTATATATATATACACTCAGACACAAAGGATCTCCAAGTTTCTCAGTGTTGCTACTCTGAGTTTCGTGCAAAAGCACTCTTCAGGCAACTTACTCTTCTCTCACATCAGTATCCCTTTACATACCAGAAAAGACGAAAAGAAGCACCCTAGGTGGGAATCACAGGTGGAGAAAAGAAGCACGCTAGCCAGTCTAGGTGGGAATCACAGGTGAAGATAAATGTGGCAAGTGTGGTAGTGTGAGCAATCGCGCAGGCCGGGTGGTGTGCATAAAGTGAAGTGTGGCAGTAGGATGCATGCACATTAGATAGCAGGAGTTCTGTATATGTGTAACAGATAGCAAGCGCAGTCTACAGTTCAGGTCACCTCCGATAGGAGGTACTTGGTGCTGTGGCGACATTTTGTGACCAGGCTGCATCTGGTGTTGAGGAGCGATGCCTTGTCACTCTTCATTATGGCGATCTTCTCCGATAGGCATAGGTTGCACCGCTCCTAGGTTCTTTTGTAGGCGCTGGATCGCTGCCTGATTCTCCACGAGATGTTGACGCCTTCACCTGCCTCCTTCAATGCCCATGCATGCTTCGACAATTCTGTGCTGTTTCTGTGTGGGGCATTCCGGAACGATGACGTGTGGTTGTTGAACCAGAGTTTGAACGGGGTTTCGGAGATGCGGATATACTTCTTCCGGCTGAGATTGGAGTCCACTGTAGCTTCGTATACTATCTCGCTGGCGTTGCAGTCCCCGTTGAGTGGGCAGTTTATTTTGATACGGCAGTTACATCTCTTTTCTTCCGGCTGTCTGAGGACTTTCGCGTTGTGGCCCTTGATTATTGAGGCTAAGTTAGGCGAACAGCTGTAGCTGACTTTGAGCGTGTTTTTGTTAAATATTTTTCTGAGGGCAGATCCTTCTGGGAAATGGCGCTTGACAAGTCTCAGGAATGTCGCGCCAACATCAGTCTTCACGGATTGGCTGTACGGTGGGTTAAACCAAATGATGGTCCTCTTCCGATTCTTTTTCCTCCTGGCTTGTCCTTCCGTGTTCGCCGGTTCCTCGTTATAGACGAGTGCGTAGTTGAAGCCACTTTTTGAGAGAGCTGCAGTGTACGTGGGGGCAGCCTCTTCAAAGATTTCTTGATTGGCAGAGACGCTCGTTAGGCGCTTGTTGATGGACTGCGGCAGGTTTTTGATTACTATTGGAGGATGGTTAGACTCACGGTTGAGGTAGAGGCGCGTGTCCCCGGGCTTGCGGTATGGCTTGTAGGTGCCTGTTTCGAGGTTTAGAGTGACGTCTAGGAAGTCGGTTACTTTTCTCCTGAACAAGCTGGCAAGCTACATCGACAAGCCATCAATCGGATTGTACCGTGATGATGGCCTAGCTACCCTAAGGAGAGTGCCGGGTTGGAGAGCAGACAAGATACGGAAGAACATCATCGGCATGTTCCAATCACTCGGCCTGAAAATAACAATCGACGTC